GGCGGGTTGTCGTTAATGTCCGTCACCTCCACCTCCACGTGGAAAACCCGCAGCGGCCTCTCCACGATCACCTCCAGGTGGATGCTGCACTCCGCGCTGCGCCCGCACAGCTCCTCGCGGTCGATCCGAGAATTCACGAACAAAATGCCATTCTGCAGATTCACCTCCAGAAGGTCCCCGCGGCCCTTGGGCGCCACGCGGAACAGGCGCGGCACCAGCTCCGCCAGCTCCAGCCCCAGGTCCTGCGCGATGCGGCCCACGAAGGCGCCGTGCTTGGCCTCCTCGGGGACCGAGTAGTGGACCTGGCCGCGCCCCGCCTCCCAGGCTGTGAGAATTATAAACAACAGCAGCAGATGCCGGTCCCCCGAGTCTCCTGGATTCAAGTCCACCATTTTAAATTGTTTTTTAAAATTCTCATCAGCGTAACTTGTCTCCAAATGTATAGGAACCTCCTTATCTCTCCGTTAGTATCCTGATTTGCTCGCCATTGCTCAGCTGCCGGATAGTGGAACAGTGTGGAGAGTCCGATATGAACGTGGATGACTTCGTTTTGTCTTGAATATGAGAGAATTTCTCGGTAAAGAGCGACATCATGTGGCCCAAATAGTAAGTACAAATTACAAAAATCAATTTTATATAAGATGCAAAGTTTTATTTCAACCTCTGGATTTTTTTCCTTTATTTTTGTTAAGGGAAATATTCTCATGTCTGCTGAAGGCATTCTTAGGAAACTTCACTTCTGAATATTTAGTGTGGCCATAGTTGTGGTTCCCTTATGCTTTGATAACAGATAGTTCCACAGTTTTATAATAAAGATAAAAGTCTGACAATAAAGCAAATCGATTAGCACACTAAGTTTTAAAATCCTTTGTTCAGATTCAGGAAACTATTTTCTTAGACTTCTGATAAGAAAATTCCTGGTCTCTCTAGGGACTCAGAATCTCAAAAATCTACAAATGAAAGAAAAACTTAGAAAGGTTGTTTGCTTTTAGAAGCAAAGAATATAAGCAACTAATTTATACACTCTTAAAAGAAAACACAATTGGTTTTGGGATTCTTTGAAGGGGAATCATTTGTATTAAGTGAATTTTGTGAGGAGGAAGTATTCTGAGTTTCTTTTCTCAGAATTTATATGTTCTGTATCCGGAGTTCATGGTTCTTATATCTCTTTATTCTTTCATCCTTTCTAAGCCTCATGTTTTATGAATATCCATTGTTCTTATAATCTCCAATACAACTTAGATGACTTATTTTATCATAAAAATTTATTTCAATAGATAAATATTTGTTCTCATCTGTCATACTTAGAGCAGTCCTTTAATCACCCTTTTTAGTTACAGCACTTAACTGAGCACGTTTTAAATGTTCAGGCCCATGTTCCTAACTTCAAGTGAAAAGGTTACACCTGCACCCTAATGCTTTCCCGGCCTGGCCTCTGCCTGAGGGAGTTCTCCATGTTGGTGCTGTCCTGGATGGTTGTCATTGCTTCTGGCTGTACTGTCTTGTCATAGCCCCATTTATTCTTTTTTAAAATTTTATTGATTTATTTGAGGGGGGGGACAGAGGGGGAGGGAGGGAGACAGAGAGATCGATTTGTTGTCCACCTATTTGTGCATTCAGTGGTTGATTCTTGCATATGCCCTGGGCAGGATGGACCTCCCTCCCCCACACCCCCTACAAACTTGGCATATTGGGAAGATGCTCTAAGCAGCTGAGCCACCCACCCATTTCTCCTTTTTTTTTAAAAATCCTCACCCAAGGATATTTTTTCCATTGCTTTTCAGAGAGTGGAAGGGAGAGAGATAGCAACATTGATGTGAAAGAGACATATAGATTAGAGACACATGATTGGTTGCCCTGCAACCGAGGTATGTGCCCTTGACCAGAATCAAACCCGAACCTGAGACCCTCAGCCCAAGGCTGAGTTCTAACCACTGAGCCAAAGAGGCTAAGGAGGTTCCCATTTATTCTTCACTTAACCCTGGCAGTCATCTTCCTGGGGGGGAAAAAACAAAACCTTTTATTCTTACTGCTTTGCACTTTTTTGTATAGTTTAAAGGACATTGGAGGTGAGTTCAAAATTCTTAGTGTAGCACTCAGTTATTTGAGATTTTTCTCCTATTAATTTTCCTGCCTTATCTCATACTCTTTCCTATGACCAAAGCAAACTATTCCTTGTTTCCAGGTACCTTTGGAATTTCCTGTGTACTCATTTATTTAAGTTCCTCTGTTCCCAAGAATACCTATGAAACTCAGTATTCTCCCAGGGGAAACTTCTCCATTTGAAAACCACTAAAAATATAAAAACTATTGAAGGACTCCTTAAACAAGGGAAACAGGCAGACCTTTTTCTCAGTTCCAGCCAGAGGGATTTACATTGCTTACACCTCAGAATATTCTGCCTTCTAAAATGTCATGTTTATGTACGACATATATCTTTATTTTTCTGTAAACTTCTTGAAACCAGAAACTGGATCCTATTAATTCAATGAGTCTTGGCACAACGTCATGCTCTTGGGGATCTGCCGAGGACCTTTTAAAAAGTGATGGTTACGGTTTGCCTCTATTTCCTAAGAAAGCATGTTGTTTTTAAGGTTGTTTTATATATCTACACAAATGACACTCTCTATTAATTAGTATAACCATGGCCTATTTTGTCATTTTTAAGTATGTGTTTAAAAATTATTATGCGCCTGTTTTTAAAAAGCAGAAAACATTATCAATGGTTTTGCTATTTCAAGAATGGAAAATGAACACATTGAAGAGCATAAACTCCAACTCTGTCCTCTGATGGACTTTGAGCAACTTTCAAATGTGGGCAAATACACCTTTCCAGTTAAAGATAATCTAGTATTTCCTAGTAAAACTTGGAAAACACAGGAAGTTAAAATCACCTTCTGCAAAGCACTGAGGGGCTCAGTAGCTTAAACGCCTCATGAATCCAAACTTTTTTTCACTGCCAAAGTCTTAATTCAGTTTTCAACTTTGAAAAACTGGTTTCAAGTTATTTTTTTAAGTGTAGTACATGGCATTCAAATGTTAGAGACATCTTGGATTAATTTGGTAATTAAGCCCCCCTCCCATAATCTTTACCAAAAATTTAAAGAATACAGAAGCCATGATGACAACTTTGTGACATTTTAGGTTTTCCTATTCTTCAGAAAATAGTAACTGACTTTCACTAAACACTATTTAGCTAATGCTATTGTGAATTCCATATAAGTATCAGCTTTCTAAATACTTCAAATTCTTTGTGATAGAACTGCTTATCATGCCAACTTTACAGCTGGAGAACTGCACACTGAGAGTTTCAACAGTTAGCTGTACTACACAGAACAAATTGGGAGGCATAAAATGTAGGCAAGAAAGGATGTCTTCAAAACCCACAACACAACACTACAGTCTGCTGCCTTCATGTAAAGAAATAGTGGATAGTTAAAATCATAATACAGAAAAAATAGCAAAAGCATCAAATTAAAAGATATAGCTCTTCAGGAAAAGAAATCCACCAAATAAACTTCAATCATAAACTAAGATTGGCAGTGTCTCGGGAATGGAGATTTTACATGGGGTTACTTTACCAAAGTCCAGATTCCCTTGAATTACTATTTCTCCCCTGTTCCGAGCCCTGATATGGGTGTCACATGGGAATTAAAAGAGTATGAAGTCTCCCCTTTCACTCCTTCATCCCAATCAGAAGTACTTAGTCTGACGACTAATGTTCCGTCCTTTATTTCTAAGTGGTTTAAAAGACCAACAATAAATGAACACCACAGACTCTTGGAATCACTGCGGCCAAAGGAGAAGGAAAGAATCAGATACGATGGGCAGAGCCCTTACACAAGATGCCTCACTTGAAAGTGTTGGTTAAATGAAATTCACCAGCGAAAAAGAAGAAATGAAAAGCGAAACAGAAACGGTAATCGAATGAGTACTAAAGTGGCGTTAAAATGTCTTTATACATAGTTACCCCCCACCCGCGGACGGTTTTTCACTGCTTTTCAAAGAGAGTGGAAGGGAGGGGGAGGGGGAGAGACACAGAGGAGACCGAGAGACATTCCTGTAGGAGAGACAATTCAATCCACCGCAGCGCCCCAACCAGCACGGGCCAGGGCGCATTGGATTTTTCTAAAGTGAGCAAATGAGAAATAACTCTGAAGTTCAAATGGAAAGATATGATACTTCTACAGAATGAGTCAGAAAAAACACTACTATGGATGCCAATTTTAAAAACACCAGATATAGACATATCAAAGAAAATTTTGAGTTTGAGGACAAATTCTTGTGGTGTAAAATTGTTAGTAATGTTGGATTCCACTTTAAATTAAGATTAATAAAAAGCCGAAAGATTACAATTACAAGAAAAAATAAAAGGATGTATATAATGTGAAATTATTCCAATTTTTAAGAATAGAAAAGTGAAAAGAAAAACATTGGGAAAACAATTAAAATATGTCAAAATAACTATTAACTGTAACTGAAGAAAATTCACTTACTTTGGCACAATGATCGTCCTTTAAATCCTGACGTTCCCCTATATCCGCCACTACGGGACAGGGTGGAAGGCTGGGGCTGAAGGCCATGAGGTCCGTCTTGGGCGCGCCCTCCCCAGAGCACACCCGCGGCCGCCTCTGCTGCGAGGCCGACCAGCTGCCCCCCGCGCCCGGGCACACCAGCCTGGGCTGCCCCGGCCCGCACGCGCCCCCGCTCGGCGCCGCCGAGCACCGCACGGCCGTGTACAGCAGCAGCGTGAGCACCAGCAGGCTGGACACCGCGCAGATGGCGACGATCAGGTACACGTTCACGTCCACCAGCGCCGCCTCCGAGCCCGCGGCGCCCGCAGACGCCGACACAGAGGCCTTGGGCGCCTGGCCGCCGTCCACCAGCGACAGCAGCAC